AAGGGGCACTAAGGAATCTACTCCTGAAATCACTGTTTCACTATATGCTAACTAATTTGGATGTAAATTTTAAAAAATAAAAAATAAATATAAAAAAAGATGAGGAAAGGTCTTAATAATCTAAGTTCCTACCTTAAGAAACTAGAAAAGGGCAAAATAAAACCAAAGTGAGCAAAAGGAGGAAAATAATAAAGAGTAGAAATCAATGAAATTGAAAACAGGAAAACAATAGAGAAAATTTTGAAAGCAGTGGTTCTTTGAAAATTTTCAATAAAATTGATAGAATGAAATAAAGAATATCACTACAAATAGGGGCACCTGGTTGCTCAGTCAGTTAAGCATCCAACTCTTGATCCTAGCTCAGGTCTTGATCTCGGGGTCATGAGTTCAAGCCCTGCACTGGGCTCCATGCTGGGCATGGAGCCTACTTAAAATAAAATAAAAAAGTATCATTACAAATCAGACTTTAAAAAGATAATAAATACTACAAACTTTATATTCATAAACTTGACAACTTAGAAAATGACTCAATTCTTGAAAACTACAAACTACTAAAGCTCGACCAAAACTAAAACAGATGAAATAGACAATCTCAATATCCTAGAACCATTAAAGAAATTACATTTTTAATTTAAAATCTCCTGAAAAAGAAATAATCCAGGCTCAGATACTCGGGCTTCTTTATTTTTATAAATATTTTTATACATGTTGTTGCATGTATCAGTAGGTCATTTTTGTTTTTGTTCCATTATATGGAATAGTTCCCAGTTTGTGTGTTCCTTTCATCCGTTGATGGACATTTTGGCTTTTCACAATTTGGGAGACTATTATGTAAAAGCTGTCATGAACATGCATTTACAAGTCTTCGTATGGACCTGTTTTCATTTCTTTTGGGAAAATACCAAGGACTAGAATGGCTGGATCATATGGGGTGTACGTTTAACTTTTAAGAAATCGCCAAACTTTTAAAAATCAATTGTGCTACTCTACATTCCCACCAGCAGTATATGTGTATAAACTATTTCATTCATATAAAACCCTAGAAAATGCAAACAAATCTATAGTGACAGAAAGTATATCATTGGTTACCTGGGATGAGATAGGCAGGGGGAATAGTCACAAAGGGTCACAAAAGAACTTCGGGGGCTGATGTTTGCTCTCTTTTTTGAGCTAATGGTTTCATAAGTGTGGCCATATATGTCAAAACATATCAAACTGTATACTTTATGTATACTTTAAGTGTATCAATTATATTTACATAGAGGTGTTAGAAATAATGTTTATTATTTAATAGGATATGTTTATTCAGCCTCTGAATAACTGATTGTGACTGAGGTGTCATGTGAATTACTGTGCACCCAGTAGTTGGGCAGACTAACCCTAAATCGATAGCTTCTACTGGTAACTCTTCTAACCAACTCTCCAGCTATCACCTTGCACAACCCCATCTCTGCCCCACTTGCAGCATTGATAGAATAAGCACACAGTTTCCTTCCTATTTCAAAGGGTGATTTGAGTTAGTGGCTAGGAAATGAGGGGTCAGTGCAAAATAATAAACACTTTTTAAAAAGTCAGTATGTGAACACTTCGGTTTCACAGCTCGTGATGACCTTTGACAAAATGAACTTTGACAAAAAGCTGCCTTTCCATTTAGGGCTGCTCACAAAAAAGACCAAGGAAGAGAGGGTTTATACACAGAAAAGCATGTCTTTATACATGTCATAGAAAAACACCAGATGAATTTTTAAAGATAATTTTAATTTATTTATGCCTCTTCATTGGCTGGAACAATTGAGCAAACTGAATTCATTTTTCCTTCATCCCGATACCATGCTATTTTCAGTCTATGAGTTTTCATCCATGGCATTGTGGAGGTCTGGCATACTCTCAGCAAACCCTAAACACTGGCAAGCACAGTGGCAAGGTCTGGAGATTCAATAACAAATAAAACAAAACTGACCTGGACTCCAATCTCTTGAAACCTTCATGTAAATCCCACCCTTTGAAGGTTCAGTGCAAACCACCTTCTCCACAAAGGACTTCCACACTATTCTAAATGTGATGGAGGGGTTTCCATGGTGTAGTGGTTATCACATTCATTTCACACTATATGCACATCTCTCCCTTTTCTGAACTAGTTGTGCTTACAATCTATACCATGCCTATGACAATGTTATTTTGCAGTCCTCTAGAACTGTTTCAACAATTCATCTTTTTGTTTTTACCCCAGGTGCAGTGTATTCAATTAATCATAATTCCCATTTTCATCACTGGTTGTGCAAGAGTTCTCTCGTGTATTTTATCCCCACACTGCACCCTCCATGCCCTCTGAATCCTAAGCTACCATTTCAAGTAATCTAATGTATATCTATTCACTCTGTTTTCTTCCAAATGAGCACTACCTTCTAAGCACATAGATTTAAGTGTATGTAAACAGAATTATGTTATTATAGTTCTTTACTTTTCTCCACTCATCACCATGCTTCTAGGATATATCAGTGTTGCTATGTGTTCATTTATTCCATGGCTGCTGTACTCCATGGTGTACCTCTGTCACCTTCCCCCTTTTGTAAAGATAGCCACTAGGGTGGCCTCCAACTTACCCAACAAATGTTCTAGTTATTTTATTTATGTTATTTGGACTATAGCTAAACTATTAACTGCTCATAAAAAAGGAACATGTTTTTCTTGTCAAGGAATATTTGCTAATTTTCTATTGTGGCCTATATATGTTTTCTAATGTAAAGTGGTGAAGATTAAAGTAAAATTAATAACTAAAATAAGGAGTTGCCAATGGAGTCTTCCTGAGCTGAGTTTAATCCTGGCTTTACCCCTTACTAGCTGTGTGACTTTAGGAAAGTAATATACCTACTTGCTTTGAGCATCTCTTTCTTCTTCTACAAAAGTGGATAAAACCACATACCTTAGCGGGCTGTTATGAAGAATAAGCGAATTAACTCATACAAAGCAACTTAGAACAGCAAATGGCGTATGACAGGTGTTGAATAATGGCTGCTATGAGCCCTACCAACTGTTTCAAACTATAGGCATTTGGACCCATCAGCTCTTCTAAGAGTGTAAGGATCTTAGAGACAGGACTATTTCAGATACTTCTTTATATCTGCTCATTACCCCACACTGTTTCGTGTAATGTTCCATACGTTTACGTTTAATGGGTTATTATAATTATTTGGTTAGCATTCTGCTAACTTAGATTTTAAGTATATATGCTAGAGTAAAATGCTTTTTTAAATCCAAGAATGTGGTATGTGTTAATACCTTTATTGCAAGATTCATGGAAATCTCCTATTATTTATTACATGTTGAAAGTTGTATCTATTAAAAAGTAAAATCAGAAGTTAGTCTTCAGTATATAAAGATTGCTGATTTCATTCTTCCTCCAGTAGCTTAAAAAAAAAAAAAATGCGAGTACTCCTCCTTCAGTCATGTTTTGTCTTCCAGGTTTTAAAGTAAGAGGCATCTGCATCCTGTAACAGAGAGACAGTAGCATGAATCACTCTCTCTGTATATTTACCCCAGTTTTGTTTGTTTTTTGTTCTGTTTGTTTTTACAAAAAAAAAGCTATATCATTATTTTTCACTGTTAAGAATTCTTAGGGGCACATAGGCAGCTCAGTCAGTTAAGTGTCTGACTTCAGCTCAGGTCACAATCTCGCGGTTGGTGAGTTCAAGCCCCACGTCAGGCTCTGTGCTGACAGCTCAGACCCTAAAGCCTGCTTCAGATTCTGTGTCTCCCTCTCTCTCTCTGCCCCTCCCCCGCTCTCTCTCTCAAAAATAAATAAACATTAAAAAAAATTTTAAAAAAAGAATCCTGGGCAAAGAAAACCTGGGCAAAGGCTTAAATTAGAAGAGAAATCATAGTGAGAATTCTAGATCTACACAAACATATCTCTGTATCATATCTCCATATATTAGTATCATTATCTCCTCTATCAGATATAAACATCATTGATTAGCATCTGCTCATGCCATTTCTTAAATGCTGAAATCTCTATTATTACTCTTCTAGACCAGCATATCATACCTACACTAACTTGCCTTAATAAATACAAAGAATAGGTCAGGGTATTTAGGATTGAAGTATCTGACAGATAACTCTAAAATTCTTTCTAGTTATTTCTAGTACATTGCTTAAAGAGTAAAACGAGGCAACCCAATAATCCTTGAGATGTGATATTTCATTTGGGAAGATATGCATTTACTACTTCCAAGAATTTGCACTAAGACAAAAAAAATATGTAACAATTCAGTGCAGCTATTGTTCTTGATCCTGGAAAATAATATATATTCATAAAAACAAAGTTCCAGACATAATGTTCCCACCTTAAACAATAGAAACAAACTCAAGTATTATCAACAAGTACATTTAGTTTGGGATAAGCTATACTGGCATTATCTTAACATAGATGCCTTATAAGCAAATAGAAAATAATAGAAAAGAAGCAGGAGGAGAAAACCATTAAAAAAAAAAGTGAGGAACAATTTTTTAAAGTTTATATGGTTTTACATAAAGAATGAGGAATTTGATCTCAGAAATGGTCTTCAGAAATGAAAGGATGCCCAGTTTCTCATTAAAAAAAAGTGATTAGCAACAAGACCATGTAATGAGCAATATGTTAAAGATGGTGGTAAGAAGAGAAAGGCCATCATTTTAGCAAAGTCTAGATGTAATCGAATGCTTGACTTACTGAGTAATGTCTATATTTTACAGTTATATAACCTATAAAGAAAACAAATTCACATTCTTGTGGATGTCCCAAAGAGTACAACTATTATAATAGCACCAAAAGTCTAGTCCTGGTCCCCCCAACTCCCGCATCCCTCAAAAAAGTAATTTCTATAATGTATTCTTTCTCCACCTTATTGCTTAACTCTCTGATCTTTATCTATTAGTTAAATATCCTGCTACCATCAAAACAGAAACATTAACAGCTAGTACTTAACAAGCAGGACATTCCAAGATGTGTTTTAAGGGCTTTCCATGTACTCACTTAATCTCTGTGACAATCCTATGACTAAGTGCATCATTAGTCTCCATTTTGTAGCTGGGGAGATTGACATAGAAAAGAAGTCTGAGACTGAGGGATGAGGTCATGGGACAGAGCTGGGATTTCAACCCAGGTAGCCTGGTAAGAGGCTCCATGATCTTAATCAGAGAGCTATCACCTCCCTAATACTGAGGACTTTATTTCCCAACTCTTATCCATCACTGGGCACAATACCACTATACCAGCTGCCCTCCAAATTTGAAATTCAGATGTAAATCTTTGATGAAGCTCTACCTTTTTTTAAAAAGTTTTATTTAAGTAATCTCTGCACCCCCACATGGGTTTCAAACTCACAACTCCAAGATCAAAAGTCACATGCTCTTCATACTGAGCTAGCCAGGTGCCCCAGAAGTCCCACCTTTAGAACCAACCCACACCACCACATCCCAACATTACCAAAACACTTATAAATGGCTTGGTACCAAGCAAACTCGTCCATATTACAACTTAGTAGAAAATAAATAGCCCCTTCATTTTTCAAGCTCTGGACTTGGTGCATCATGGAAGTTTTATAACCTTTAAGTCTCTTTAAGCATTTTGTTTTATTTTTTTCACTAATTTATGTTCAGGATCCTTCAAAAATTGGGAACAAATTAAGTGCCTAACAATTTGTGGTCTGCTTAAATAGTGGAAGGTTACATAATGATACATATGGTATGCTCCCACTGAATAATGCTCTTTATATATCAATCCCTGCTAACATTTCTAAAAGAACGTAGTAGTCATTGAAAATAATTTAACAATAAAAAACATCCACAGAAATAGCCTTTCTTTGCATAATCCTATCCATAATTTTTGGCTTAACTCATTACATTTTCTTGCTCTTCAAACATTAAATTCTTGTGATGGTCACAATTTTCTCAGAAATAGCTCATAATATTCCTCACTTAGCTGTAGGAATGAGTGCCAAAAGAATGAACAATCACCATATTTTTTCAGACATGGACATTTTGGTACATCTCATGTGCACAGTGCCTTCCAGAATGAGGCCAAAGGAACCAGCACTACACAGAGAGAGTGCATGATTTTTCACTGCATGCTAAGTGCTTTGACAGAGTAAAGCACGGGCTGAGGCCTCATCCTGGAGAGAAACTGGAGGGGAGGCCATTATCATTCCAAGGAGATGGTACCAGGTAGGAATTTGTGATGAAAAACAGTGGAGAAAGAAGACATACACTGGTCAATCAGTAAGTTTTTAGAAGATAAAATGACAATCTCTGATTTGAGTTTACCTTGTAGAAATTTCTAAGACCAGTAGTAATTTATAGTAAACCAACAGATATGCCTGGGGAATACAATACTTCTTATATCTTTCGTATTTATGTCATAAAGTTGATGGGGAGTAAGAAAAGTTTTCAAGCGCTCAAAAATTTCATACTTTCTACAAGACTGATATGTATTAAGAATTGTATAAATTGGGGGCGCCTGGGTGGCGCAGTCGGTTAAGCGTCCGACTTCAGCCAGGTCACGATCTCGCGCTCCGTGAGTTCGAGCCCCGCGTCGGGCTCTGGGCTGATGGCTCGGAGCCTGGAGCCTGTTTCCGATTCTGTGTCTCCCTCTCTCTCTGCCCCTCCCCCGTTCATGCTCTGTGTCTCTCTCTGTCCCAAAAAAAAGAAATAAACGTTGAAAAAAAAAAAAAATTTTAAAAAAGAATTGTATAAATTGGTCTTACCAAACCCTTCTTAAAGTTCTCAATTCGTTTCTTCCCTAATATGTCGGTCAGCCACCAGGCCCAGGTTGGCATATATTGCCACAAATATGCTATTAATAAAAAAGGGTGATCCGCAATCCAAACTTCTTTCAAATCATTGGCCATGCTGATTAACATCAGCCGCACACAACGACTGGTCACCATCTTGTGGTACTGGGATACATCAATGCCTATAGACTAAGAAAATGTTAAAAAAAAGTAAGTGAATGCTGAGTATTTATCCAAGATATTTCACAAAACTTTTTAGCTATAAAGGACTCAGAGGTCATGTAGTTGACGCTTTCACTGGGACCTCATGCCCCTTAGAAGACATCATTGGTACTGATGGGTGTCTACAAACTGTAATGTTTCAAAAAGCCTTAGACAAATCATACATGACCAGATAAGATCATGCAGGCTAAATAAAAGATGAAGGTTCTTTGCTTTAATTTACATCCCCTTTAATTTAATGAAAATTATATATCAATTTAGCAATAAAGATTTTTAAATAATTACTAATACATATATTTAGCAAATGAAATTCTATAAACCATGGAGTCCATAGTGAACAAATCTGGTGCTGCTAATCCAGTTAACACACTACCATTCTACAAATAAACTGAAGCCCATAAAGGTAGTAACTCATCTGTGTTCACACAGATCATTAGCAGTAACCAGATCTTCCAAGTCACTTGATTCCCAAAACAGCGTGCTGCTTCTAGTTTACCTTACAGTCTCCACAGAAAATGTGAAAATATAAATCATATCTGTAAACATTTACACAGAAGCATAAACAGATTTATGTCTCAGCAGAAATTGATCTTCGTGGAGAAGGAGGAAAATTTCACGGTCTTTAGTGGGATTTTGTATCACTGGGTGATACTGGACTCATCGCAAGAAATTTGTCATCCACTTGGCAACTCACCATGTGCAGTCCAAGAGCTGAGGGAAGCACAGGCGTGTGGTCAGGCACAGGTGAAGCTAACCTAAAATTATTGCAATCCAGCCAGGCTTTTTCTAAGCTCCTTCACCATAGCTCTTCTTTAAAATCCCAGTAAGATTTAATGTGCTAAGATTCAGCCACACAAATCCTTTCAATGTTGCTATAATTTGTGAAGTGATAGAAACTGAGTTTTTAAAATGTTGATAGCCCACATCATAGTGGATTACTTATAAGCAGTATCTTATCAACTTCTTTAGCCTTTATTAAAACTGAATGCCAAAGCACTAGCAGCTAAACTTAACGGCGTTCCTACTGCCATGAGTTAAGTTTTGCAAATAATTCATAACACAGTAACATGTTAGTGTAATATGTTAGAAAAAATTCTAAGCACAGTGATGCAATACCAATACATAACTACTAAAGCGTTCAAATTATTCTCCAACTAGAAGTTTTTTACCTTTGTGACTTCTTCACACAGCGCATTCTTCACAATATTTGACTGCACAGGTCCTGGACAAATGTTAGAAACTACTATACCTGGGTACATAGCAAGTTCAGTACGGACTTGTACGGAGGCAATTAAAAAAACCCTAATAGTCCAAAAAAAAACAAAAAAAACAAAAAAAACAAAAAAACAAAAACAAAGAAAGAGGGCAACAAATAAAATTAAATACATGTATTTCATGTTTGCTATTAGCACGACATTACTTTTCTTCAACTTTTTATGTGGGACACTAGCACATTATCAAAATATGTTTTCAAATGCCAAGTAAAGGACAGGAAATCTCACTGGGCAAGTTTATTAAACATTTTTAACTCTAAGACAGGGCAATCTAGGGCGGCTGGGTGGCTCCGTCGGTTAAGGATCTGACTCCTGATTTCAGCGCAGGTCATGATCTCACGGTTCGTGGGATCGAGCCCCATGTCGTGCTCAGTGCTAACAGGGCAGAGCCTGCTTAGGATTCTCTTTCTCCCTCTCTTTCTGCCCCTCCACTGCTCACATTCTCCTCTCCCTCCCTCTCTCTCTTTCCCTCTCAAAAATAACTAAACACTAGAAAAAAAGACTGGGGGCAATTTAGAACAGGCATCACCATCTTCTGGTAGGAATAATTGACACCTTCTGGCAGTGGTGGCTGACACCACGAGTTATGTCTCACGGTAGGCGCAGGACAGGGGAAAAACTATCCCCACACCAGTCCCCATCTCCCTGCTTCTTTTATCCCTCAAAGCAGTCTCAAGTGCCACTGCTGGCGCAAGAGGGAGCAAGAGGGATTAAATACTTGACAGAAATTATCATAGAGGAAGAATTCAACTTTCTCTATTTATATGACTATTTTAACAGACAATTTGTTTCAGCATTTATTTTTAGGGTTAGCAAGCAAGTCCGTGGCTGGTTAAAAATGTAATAGGATTGCTTCCTCAATGACTTTCATAAAAACAAGCTAGACCCTCTAGACTTGAAGATACTGGCTACTTCTGAACAAATAGGGAGTAAACATCTACTTCCCCTCCTCTCTTTTCCTAAATTAGGAAATGTTCCAAGATTACATTGGTATCAGCTGAGATAAGTATTGAAAAGCCTAAACAGCTAATCTGGAGTGTGATCCAACATTAAAACAGTTACCAGCTCTTAATGCCAACCACTAACAAATAGCAGCTATAGGGGTTCGCGCTGCCAGGGACCAACAAAGTGCCTGCCTCAGACGGACATGAAAAAAGTTTTGGAAATCAATGAACTCTCGTATCCTTAACCTCTCTACAGCAAAAGAGGAGAGAGGACACCATGAAAGCCAATACATCATGTTAAACCTCTCCTTGGGGCGCCTGGGTGGCTCAGTCGGTTAAGCGTCCGACTTCAGCTCAGGTCACGATCTCACGGTCCGTGAGTTCGAGCCCCGCGTCGGGCTCTGGGCTGATGGCTCAGAGCCTGGAGCCTGTTTCCGATTCTGTGTCTCCCTCTCTCTCTGCCCCGCCCCTGTTCATGCTCTGTCTCTCTCTGTCTCAAAAATAAATAAACATTAAAAAAATTAAAAAAAAAAAACAAAAAAAAAACCTCTCCTTGTCTGAAGTCACATCTAGTATAGTGTGTGAACTTTTCAGTGATAAATAAATTCACTCTATAGCTTGTTGGGAATCAGGGAAGGAAAGGTGTTCTTCCAAAAGTACTTCCTAGTCCTAGTGTTCAGCTACTGGTTTAACTAACTGGAGTCTCAACCTGCCACACTGTATAACAGGATCAAATCCAGTAATAAAACAGTGAGTCCTGGAAGGCAGGCCAGATAGCTCAGGTTGCGTTTTAGTGAAAGCACTCTGCATGTCAGGAAGATACTGGGCTGTCTTGCCTCATCCACCTGCCTGAGACTTGCCCATCTGCTCTACAGGAAGTAACTACTACCCCATTACCAAATATGGGGAAATCATCAGTGTAGCAATCTGTTTCATCACTCTCCACAACCGTCTCCCTCCACAGCAGAAAGAGGATACCCTAAAGAACCAAAGCTTCAGATCCTCATGAATCTGTGAAGGCCATTCAGCTGTTGCATCTCATTATTCCAACAGCGAAACATTCCACTTACGCTGACTTTCAACAGCATTAATTATAAATTATGTGTCTCCTATTGGCCTTAGGATCTAATTTGTTCTATGTTACAGTTTAATAATATTTCTTCATATCCATTCTTAAGCCAATATTAAAAAGTCATTTGTTTCTATAGTCACAGCTAGTAAGTTATTGTAGCCCAAATCAAGCTTTCTCCCAGCGTCTGCCTTGAATGGATTTTCTTCTTTCAGTGAAGCCACAGTAAATAGGGTCAAGACTAGTCCCAGTAGGGATATGAAGCCCAGGTCTAATCATCCAGCGGGGAGCTCCTACTTCTGACATGCAAATATATTTAGACTAGATAAAATAAATGCCAACTACAACGGGGAAGGAGAAAGAAGTCAGAGAAATGGGAAGGGTAAGTACATCAAGTGTGTGCGGAAGAAATGGGGGGTAGAGTTTCCATGAAGATGTGATAGAAATGAGGATGAGGGTGACATGTTGAGCAGACTATACACTTCTTTAGGGTGGGGACCATTTCTTATCTTTATATCCCCAGGATCCACTGCTATGCACAGCATGGCACAGTGTTGGTACTCAGTACATGTTTGCTGAATTAGGAAGAGGCGTGTGAGACTCAAGTCTTTTTTAGCATCTTCTGGGGATGTCCTCTACCCAAGGTCTCCTTGAGTCTCTCTTGCTGTTCCCCTACATCACTGCCCCGTTCCAATGACCTCTTGCAGTGATGGCCGTATCTCCCATATACATATTTAGATCAGAGCTGAGTTTGAGCAGTCTTACCCGGAGAGCATGTTTGCTGGCACAATATCCACTACAAAGGGGCGCAGATATGATACCCAGGAGGCTATTCACAGTAACAATCTTTCCTTGTTTCCTCTCGATCATGTGAGGCAGAACACACATTGTCAAGGACAGCGTCCCTAAGTAGTTAAGCTCTATTAGCTCCTTGAAGACATCCAGGCTGGTCTCCACAAACAAAGAACGCTGAGATCTTCCAGCATTGTTGACCAGAATGTCGATCTAGTTAAATAAAATCAGAAAAGGGGCACTTTGGGGATGACCTGTAAATGGACTGATACAATTCTTAGGGATGGCTGGTTATATTGTTAACTTGAAGAATCATTGGAATGGAATGGTGAATTTCTAGCAGTCAGCAATAAAGAGATAAAATAAAAACCACAATTCACCTACGGAATTAATTTCCCATCATAAAAATAAAAGGCACAGTGAATTTTTACCTTCTTTTGTTCTACATGAAGGAATTAGTACTTAGTAAGGTGTGGAAAGTACTAATTACATAAATCCAAAGACTTAAAGTATAAAAGACTCATGGGCATTGATCTCACTGCATGGACCCATTTGCCTAAAACCCTTTAAATGACAGCACACAAAGAAGGGAATCTCTTTTGTAGCTACCTATTTCAAAGCAAGACTTACCAATTCAAAATGGCTACTTACTTTACCAAACTCCTGGAGGACCATTTTGGTAGCCGCCTCATGGGAACTTCTGTCAGTCAGGTCAAGTGGCAAAATGAGTATATCTTTGTCTTTTAAATTGCCATTCTCTAAATAAAGACATTTAAAAATTAGTGCAGAAGTTGTAAGATAGTCCAATCAAGCTTCCGGCTACTTGGTGTTAAGTTTAATACCCACCCTATAACTGGACTTGGCAAAAACTCATTTCTGAGTGGCCTTGTGGAAGAATTTCTCTCAGTGACCAAGAGGACTGGCAGTAATAAGGCAATATCTAATCAGACAAAAAGCTGGCTGGGTACACAGGACGTAGTATGGCTCTCTTCAACTTGAATATGGACAGTCTAACATTGGAACAGACGCTACAAGAAACCATGATTATACTACAAGCTAAAAAAAAAAAAAAAATTAGAGCTTTTTCTTTAGAAGTACAGAAATATATTTGTTTCATTATAGGCTCAGAAAGTATAGTTTCTCTTTTACACACATTAAAACATAAAAACAATTTATGCTTCACATTAGTAAGACATTCAGAGTTAACCCAGTCACATGACACACAGAAGCTTCCTTCCAGACAAGGATTCAGGGATGCAAACATGGAACAGGACACAACCTTCAAACTGCCAATTGAGAAACATGTTGGCCCTTTCTGTCACTATTCATCAAAAGAGTACGTTTTGAAATACAACCAGTAAAGCCAATAAGAAAGGCAGGCAGAGAAAATAAACGAGGTACAAAGGTTTTATGGACAAACTGTTAAGCTGTGAAACATCAACTGTTTTAAAAAAGAAATGGAAATGCTTGCACCAGTGATCTGACAGATAAAGGAAAAGTCAGCCTTAGTCTAGCAGACACATGCTGACATGGTTCATTTCTGCCAGTACAGGACTTGCAAGTCTCAACAGCCAGAGGAAGTGTCCCAGTGCAAAGCATAAGAGGCCTCTGAAGGCAATATTGTGAAAGAGGCCTTGTGGCCTTGCTACTGACTCTCTTTTCTGCATGGTTAACTCCATCAGCAAACTGAAAGAAAATTGTTTCAAGAATGACAGGTAGAGAAATGACCCAAAGAATGGTCTGCTTGAAAATTCAAAATTATCTCATGTTTCATGACAAATGATAACTTGTTTTCTTTTTTTTTTTTAACGTTTATTTATTTTTGAGACAGAGAGAGACAGAGCATGAGCAGGGGAGGGGCAGAGAGAAAGGGAGACACAGAATCTGAAACAGGCTCCAGGCTCTGAGCTGTCAGCAGAGAGCCCGATGCGGAGCTCAAACTCACGGACCGCGAGATCGTGACCTGAGCCAAAGTCGGACGCTTAACTGACCAAGCCACCCAGGCGCCCCTCCCTGATAACTTGTTTTCAAGTGAACACATCTATACCAAAACCTAAACCAAAAAAAAAATTAAAAATAAATAAAAATTAAAAAAAAATTAACATTGTTGCTCCCTATATGAATATTACTTCAAGCTGCATTTTAAAACCTAATTCAATTCCTGTTCTTTCATTTTTTTTGTTCTTTCATTTTTATAACAAAAATCTTATAGTGTCCCATATGAATTTAATATCTGCTATTTCAGCAAAATGAAGAAGGATCCTTTCCAGTTAAATTTCTATGGTTACATACATGAATGCCATATATAAGAACCAAACTGTTCTTTCTCTAACACAAAAGTATAAAGTACGTGGTCACTGAAAATCCGCCAGCATTCGGGGTGCCTGGGTGGCTTAGTTGGTTAAGCGCCCAACTTCAGCTCAGGTCATGATCTCACAGTTCCGTGAGTTTGAGCGCCACATTGGGCCTTGTGCTGACAGCTCAGAGCCTGGAGCCTGTTTCGGATTCTGTGTCTCCCTCTCTCTCTGCTTCTCCCCTGCTCGCTCTCTCTCTCTCTCTCTCTCTCTCTCTCTCAAAAATAAATAAACATTAAAAAAAAAAAAAGAAAATCCACTAGCATTTAAAAGAATTCGTGATCAGTCTCTAATATCAAGAGTCAGCACAAAATAAAAATAGAAGGCACACACAGATCAATGGAACAAAATAGAAAATTCAGAAGTAAATCCACAATTACATGGTCAATTAATCTTTGACAAAACAAGAAAGAATATCCAATGGGAAAAAAACAGTTTCTTCAACAAATGGTGTTGGGAAAACTGGACAGCAACATGCAAAAGAAAGAAACTGGACCACTTTCTTACACCATACACAAAAATAAATTCAAAATGGATTAAAGACCTAAATGGGAGACATGAAACAATCAAAATCCTAGAAGGGGATACAGGCAGTAACTTCTCTGACATCAGCTGCAGCAACTGTTTTCTAGATAGGTCCCCTGAGGCAAGGGAAAGGAAACAACGGCAAAAATACACTATTGGAACTACATCAAAATAAAAAGCTTCCATACAGCCAAAGAAATAATCAACAAAACTAAAAGGCAACTAAAAGAATGAGAGAAGATATTTGCAAATGACATATCCAGTAAAGGGCTAGTAGTATCCAAAATATATAAAGAACTTACAAAAACTCAACCCCACAAAACAAATAAATCAATTAAAAAAGGGGCAGAATTTGCAATGATGTGGGTAGAGCTACAGAGTATTATGCTACGGAAAACACATCAGTTAGAGAAAGACAAATACCACATGATTTCACTCATATGTGAAATTTAAGAAACAAAACAAACAAGTATAGGGAAAAAAGAGAGAGGCAAACAAATAAATAGACTCTTTTATAGAGAATAAATTGATGGTTACCAGAGGGGAGGGAGTGGAGGGATGGGGTGAATAGGGGATGGGGATTAAGGAGTGCACTTGTGATGAGCACCAGATGATGTATGTGTTAATCACCATATTGTACACCTGAAACTACTATAACACTGTATGTTAACTAACTAGAAGTAAAATAAAAACTTAAAAAAAAAGGAGAAGAAGAAAAGTAGAAAGGCATCAGAAAAGAAAAGGAAGGTGCAAGAGCGGCTAGTGAAGAGATGTCCAAAGAAAGAGGATTTGGATCTAAGCATTTGGAGTATCGGGAACCAGAGCAGATATGCCCAGGAAAATCCCACTCTTAACTTCTAAAAATCTCAAAATTGTATTTGAATGTGAATTCTGGTTGATTTCCAGGAAGCTGCTGTGGTTTTAGATTTACTCACCAAGGCACCTTCTCTTCACCCTTTCCAGCTCCTGCACTCTTCTGGCTGACAGCACAAGGGAGACTCCTAGTTTAGACAGCTGGTAAACCAGCTCTTCACCGATCCCGCTCGATGCTCCAGTCACCCATACTACCATATCGGTCAGCTCCCATTCTAGTGAGAAATAAGTACAGATTGAGGGCAGAAACTAAGCTCTGGATTACACCCATAAATCAAAGATTACCAAAAAGACAGTCTTAAACAATACCACAAAAGATGAAGACATAATGTGCGGAGTTTAAAAATTCCAATAGCCTAGGGGTGCCTGGGTGGCTCAGTCAGTTGAGTATCTGACTCTTGATTTTGACTCATGTCATGATCCCAGGGTTGTGGGATCCAGCCCCACATAGGGCTCCACACTCAGCATAGAGCCTGCTTGGGATCTTTTCTCTCTCTCTCTCTCACTCTCTCCCTCTCTTTCCCCCACCATCTGCCCCTCTCCCCTGCTTGTACACTCTCTCTAAAATAAAAAAAAAACTTTTTTTTCACTATCCTATATTTATGGGCTTGATTCTGGTGATGTTCTCACAGGTATATACCTACCTCAAATTCACTGAGTTGTATATTTTAAATATGTAGTTTTTATGCTACTCATACCTCAATAAAGTGATATAAATTTTTTTAATTAAACATCCTCAGAAAGCACCTCCTACCTAATTTTTTTTAAAAAAGCATGAATACAAATATATTAGTAACAGTTATCAACACATTGTATTATATATTCCCGACTCTCGGGTGAGTTTTCCTGACTTTACTCTAGGACAAGCCTTATAACTTGATGATCTGACTCCCAGGCTCTATTTATTTATGTATTCAATTGAGAAAAATTAGTCTAAGTGAATAAAAAGTCTATCTGAATTGCTTTCTCACTTCCTTATCCAAGAAATGAGGGATTCAGATAAAGATGATCACTAAAGGTCCCATCCAGTTCTGAATTCTATTATTCTAATTTCTTGCAATGGAGGTATTGATGATGAATCTGAATATACCAAGCTCTACTCTAAGGTATGGTGGTATCATTCTGGATTTTTGTTTTCCTCATTTGTCAATCATATCTGATGCCTATCAATTAAAAGTCACTTTATAAAGGTGCTTGCTCCTCAAATGCCTGAGCTTTCTTCTTGGAGAAGTTCACCCAAGTTCACCCAGTTCACCCAAGATTAAATGCACACGATAGAGAAATGAAATGCTGTACTCTGCTTGCCCAATCATGTTCTTGTGAAAAATTATAAAAATGTTACAGCTCTAAAGCAAAGAGGAGTGGTATATTCTCCTTTCCTCCAATGAAAAGCTTATTTGCACTGCAGGACATGAGAGCCACTGTCTATCTGAATTGCAGGGGAGGAGCTAGATGTACCTGGGCTTTTTTTTTTTTTAAGTTTACTATTTTGAGGGAGACAGAGAGAGAGAGAGAGCACATCTTGCGCGACGCATGTGTGCCTGCACCAACACCAGCAGGAGGGAAAGAGAGGAGAGAGACAGAATCTCAAGCAGGCTCAGCGCTGTCAGCACAGAGCCCAAAGTGGGGCACCAACCTACGAGCTGTGAGATCATGACCTGAGCTAAAGTCAAGAGCCTGATGCTCAACGACTGAGTCACCCAGGTGCCCCACACACGTCTGATTTTAGATCATAAACATTAAAATCAGGAAATCAGTTTACTGTTTTAGTCAAACAAGTCTAAAACCTAACTGTCGGGTTAACAGTACGAGCTCTGGACTGCCAGGGTTCAAATCCCGGCTCCATCACACACAGCAGTGAAATGCCCCCATGTGAGAACTTGGTGCCTTAACGTTCACAACTGGAAAACTGGATTAATAACAAAACCTCCCTCAAAGCATTATTGAGAAAAGTAAGTTAGTAAGTAAAGTACCCCGAGCAGTATCTGACATATACTCAGTGCTTAATAAAATGTCAACTCATTATTGCTAAAAGTGTTTAACAAATAGACTTTTCAGCAGCAAAACATAGAATATTCTCCCAATAATGTATGTTCTAATTTCTCTAGCAAGGGGCAATGGGGTTACTAACCATAAAGGCTTTATATGTTTTTATTATTCCCTATGTGCTTAAACACATTACCTTATTAAAACCCTTACAAGAAATTCATGAAATAAGAATTATCTCAATTTTATAAAAAAGGAAGCTGAGGATTACAGACATTAATTTACCTCACTAGACTGTAAATTCCCTTAAAACTGGGACCCTATCTGCCTTGTTCACTATTCAGTGCCTAGCACAGAGACTGGAATATAGAAAGAACTCCATCAATAACTATTCAGTAAACACCCAACAACACTAGGAGAGCTGGGACATAAACCCAGGTACAGGGCCACCAGGGTGGTTCAGTCAGTTAAGCATCCAACTCTTGATACCAGCTCAGGTCATGATCTCACTGTTCATGAGTTCAAGCACCTCATCAGGCTCTCTGCTGACAGAGTGGAACCTGCATGGCATTCTCTATCTCCCTCTCTCCCTCCCTCAGTGGTGGTCTCTCTTGCATGCACGCTCTCTCTTTCTCTCTCTCAAAATAAATAAATAAGCTTTAAAAAAAATCCCAGGTACATTTAGCTCCAAAGTCCACACCCTGACCACTAGCCTATGGTGCTCACATTTTAAAATGATCAATATTTTATTTTATTTTTTTTCAGTTTATTTATTTATTTTGAGAGAGAGGGAGAGAGAATGCCAAGCAGGCTCTGTGCCGTCAGCACAGAGCCGGACATGGGCTCGATTTTACAAACTGTGAGAATATGATCAAAATTTTAAAACCCAACTGTTTCTTAGCCATTCAAGAAACTATAGCTTGTCTTCAGTTAAAAGGTTTCATGTAAATATCTGAACTAAGGTTGCAACCATCCTGAATACTATGTCTAGGCTGTAATTCTTTCCCATCACATGATGTACTTTTACGGAAATGCACAAGCGAGAACTTCATCAGGAATGGTAGAGTGTATATTCAGATAATAATCATTTACTCACTCACTGACTACTCACTGTTCCAAAGTTCTGCAATACTCAGTCTACAGGGTGACTCTAGTTGTTTGTAACTATTTACTAACTTGCATAGAATAAAAATTTCTCCATTTTCACACCAATAAGCAAATATTACTTAAAACCAACAATGAAAACCCCTTAGCTCAGGTGTACCTTAGTACACCTGCACTTCTGGCCCCTTTCTTCCCACCATGGAGAGGAAAACTTCTGTATTTAGCACCAACTCTTGTTTACCAATTCCACAGAATATAGCATAAATCATGGTCTCCCCTACAGAGTCTCTGAAAGCAGATCCTCAGAGCTGGAAGGAAACTTAGCAGTTCAACCCCCAACCCAGTTTGAGAATTCTCTCAAGGCGCGGACTAATGTCTACTTAATTCCCTCACAGAATGAGGAAGCTAGTTATCTCCAAAGCACCCCCTCCTTTTCAGACTAGTCTAATCATTCAAGGGGGGCAAGGTTTTTTTTTTTTTTTTTTTTTTTTTTTTTTTTTTTGAGAGACAGAGAGAGAGAAAGAAAAAAGAGAGCATGAGAAGGGAAAAGGGGCACAGGGAGATAAGAGAGAATCTTAAACAGGCTCCACGCTCAGCACGGAGCCTCACACAGGGCTCGTTCCCATGACCCTTGGATCATGACTGAGCTGAAATCAAGAGTTGGATGCTCAACTGTCTGAGCCACCCAAGCATCCCAAGGATTCTTTCTTCTACTGTGATATACCTTAAATTTCTGCTACCCAGCAGCAGTCAGCAGAAGTTCTGCCTTGTGGTAACAGAAAGAATAAATCAGGCCTGCCTCACACATGACAATCCCTTGTATATTTGAAGACAGCTGACGTGTCTTCCCTCAATCCTCTCTCATCATCTCTTGCTTCTCTAAGGCTAAACACCTCCAGTGTCTATGACCTTCCCTCAGATGACATGGCCTCAGGTTTCCTCACTCTTTGGCTCACACCCCACTGCACAAACTCTAGCTGGTCAATGTTCCTATTGAAGAGAACTAGCCGCAGAAGGATCCAGGATTCCCGTGGGGTCTGGACAATGGCTGGTTGAGCCACTGCGGTATCCCCAGTGTGCAGCACAGAGGCCAGCACAGACAAGCCTTTATTCAGAAGACATCTGTTGTGGACTGCTATTCGTTGCTTCAGGGACTACACGCCTCCCAGGCTTGCCTAATCTTTTCTGGCAGTCATTTCACAGTTCACTCCTATCGAGGTTACTGCCAACAAAAACCCGAGTTTTCCCCAGATGTGCTGCTGCTGGAAACTTTTCCTGCTCTGGACTTGTGCCATGGATTTTTCTGGATCTATGTGCAGTATCTATGATTAGTCACCCTTAGATTTCACCATGTAAGATATACGCTTGGGAACATGGAGAATTTCTTTAGGAGGATATGTGAAAGCAGAAATGTTGGTTGCCTCCAGAGAGGCATACTTGGTGGCTGGGGGCAACTTTTCACCATAAGTCCTTTTGTATCTTTATTTTCTTTTAAGTTTATTTATTTATTTTTGAAAGACAGAGAGCGCAAGTGGGGGCAGGGCAGAGAGAGAGAGAGGGAGAGAGAGAATCCCAAGCAGGTTCCACACTGTCAGTCAGGAGCCCAATGTGGGGCTCGAACTCAAACACCGTGAGATCGTGACCCAAGCAGAAACCAAGAGTTGGATGCTTAACCAACTGAGCCACCCAGGTGCCCCTCCTTTTGTATCTTTAAATTCTGTAGTATATAAGAATATTGTCTATTTTTTAAAGTGACAAAAATAATAAACCTATGGAGAAGACAAGGAGGATTTATTAAAAAAAAAAAAATTTTTTTTTTTACCTTAATAGAGTCTGCCTATCTTTCCAATAAACGTTTGAGACCTGATGAAATTTCAGGTGTATCTCCATGTTCCTTTAAATTTGTTTCATTATCACCAGCCCCCAACCTCCAGTATTCTTTCTAGTCATTTTTTTCTTAAAAACTCCCCCAGGGGCGCCTGGGTGGCTCAGTCGGTTAAGCGTCCGACTTCGGCTCAGGTCATGATCTCAGGGTCCATGAGTTGCCAGAGCCCAGCGATCAGGCTCTGTGCTGACAGCTCAGAGCCTGGAGCCTGTTTCAGATTCTGTGTCTCCCTCTCTCTCTGACCCTCCCCCGTTCATGCTCTGTCTCTCTCTGTCTCAAAAATAAATAAACATTAAAAAACTCCCCCAATGAAATTGTAACTCCAGATACACTGCGTACCTCACATATATCTGTGCTTTATACATAAAAGGAGTTCTAGAAAGCTTACTCTTCAGTCAATGCAGGTTTAAGAATGACTAAATTTAAAAATGAAGTTAAAAGTTAAATTAAAATTTAAAATTTAAAAGCCATCACCATTTAACATTACAACTTTATTTGCTGAATAACTTTTAATGTGATTTATTTACTTAGATAAATAACAATGTATCAAATTAATATGCAAATTAGTCAATTATACAAGTAAATAATAATAGCAATGTAATTAAATGCATCTTAAAATCCTTCAAAACTATTTTTCCAGCCAAAGTAAAACACTGAAAAAATTAAGTGAATTTCTTAAAAATTATTTTTGGTCACCTTAACTTTCAGTTTTTGCTTGATATGCGATAACCTGTAATTTAACTAGCTATTAGATATTCATTCAGACATTGTCTCAACGTTTTCCCTTTTCAGCACTTGACATGACTAACGGATCAAATAACTTCTACAGAATTAAGTTTTAAAAAGAAATTATTTGTATGTAATTCTCAAAGTCCAAGTTAACATAAAAGCACTCAGGATCAAATATAAATATCCACAAAGTAGCCACAAGGCAGCCATCAGGCAAGAGAAGGTCTGATCAAAAGAGGGTCTGACAATCCCAGCCATCTATCTGCCTGCCACACGTTGACTTTGCACAGGTGTAGTGTATTTTCCATGAACTCAATAATGTCAGCACTCCAGATGTTATACCCAAGAAAATGCAACGAGAGAAGTGAAATACTAAGGAATAAGATTTTGTCAGGTACAGTTGAGCTTTGAAGGGACACAAAACACTGTACCATCTAAGTTTTTGTTGGTTGGTTGGTTGGTTTGTTGTTGGTCCTCAAGAACCTGTTTTGACATCCTTGAAAGCCATATGGCTCCCCTTCCCTCCCAGACCCGTTTTGAAAGCAAAGTCTATCTTCTGAACTGCTAGCTATCACTTCCAAGTAAACTTCCTCACGTGCTTTTCGGGTATTTTCACACAGGAAACTAGGTCCAGGGAAAGTCCACTTCCCTGAGCCCTTATGGATCCAAAGCCTAGCTCTGGCTGGGTCATTTAATGTCTCTGAATATTGGTTTCCCTACCTGGAAAATAAGATCAATAACGCCTGCTTTGTAAGTCTCTGTAAAGGCTGGAGGTCGCGTGTGTAAAGGGCGGTGCCCATTGCTTTTAGCGCAAAGAATGCAGTAGTAAACGACGACGAAATTTCAAGCAGGGCACAGATGAAAGTGGGATAGGCAGAATGCCCCTCAATGTGCCTGTAATGATCTATCTCGGGGCAAAATGCCAATCCAGGTCTTTCTAGGGGGATAAGTCGGTAGGTAGGTAACTCCGGGTTATTTCATTTTATTTCACAACTCAGAATGAGGGAACAACTTCAGGATGTAGAAAAACCGAGCTCCAGTTCTCGAAAGGAGGCTCCCGTACAAACTCAGGGGACTGGCAGTGTTTCTCGGTATCGTCGTCCGCGCACGCAGCAGCAGAATCCCTGGGAGCCTGATTAAGAACTTCCAGCACTCAGGGCGCCCCGCCCATTCCAGCGCCCTCTGACTTTGGCAACCAGGCGTGTCCTCCCTGACCCGGACGAAAAACAAAGGGGCAGACCCGCCTTCTGGGCCCCGGCTTTTTCCTCCCCCACCGGCAGTCCCGGGGAAAGGCGCGGAAGCTCCACGCCACCCGGAGGGAGGCGGGGACAGCGGGGACGGGCGCCCGGAGCCCGATCTCCCACTCTGGAGGCGCGGCTCCGGGTCCTCACCTGGGCGTCGCCCCTGCCACTCGGCCCACAGCAGGGTCAGGTCGCCATCCGCCCGCAGGAAGCGCAGCAGCTGCACCACGAGCGCGAGAAGCGCGCACAGCGCCAGCAGCCAGAGCAGCAACTCCCAGCTCATCGCGGCCGCGCAAGCCCGGCCCTGCCTGGGGAAACACAGAACCCGTACGAGCCGCGGCGCGGGGCACGGAAATCTGCCCGGCCGCCTCCTAGCGGGCCGGGGAGCCGCACCGCCCCGGCTCCGCCCAGAGAGTGGACAGGAGGGAGGGACGGTCTGGGCGCGCCGCACCACCCGGCTGGGAGCCGCGCCCCGGGCCGCGTGGAGGGGGCGGGAAAACCCCGCACGCCCCGCCCAGTGCCCCGTGCCCCGAAACTGCTGAGCCTGCTGAGCCTGCGTGTACGCCTAAGGAAGGGTTGCTGCTGAGACGCCAGGCTTGGGTGACTTAAAGACTCGGCGGTACTGCTGTTACTACCGTAGCCACAAGGTTTGTAATATCAAGAAGGATTCTTTAACAGTTGTTTTGAGGGGATATAGTTCCAAGTCTCGGGTTGTGTCAAAAGGAAGAGCACAAAGAGTCCAACCTATGAATGCGACTTCCTCCGTCCTCATCTTTCTTAACTAAATAAACCCAACAAACTATCAAACTGTTTTCCACCCCACCCCCAATTAACCGGGTCTCTGGAGTTGGCCCCTTGATTTAAATACGGAAAACAATGTTGCATAAGACACTTGCCTTCTTGCTGGAGGAGAAAGTGCAGTTTCGGCCAAGATTGTCCATGAGCACCAGCTCTAGGAGCAGGATTGGGGACCTGAGCCAAGCTGGTTCCGTCCTCAGCAACCCTAAGTAAATGATTTATTTTTATGTACTCACAAACAGTAGGGAGGTTTAAATAAAAAAATGTAAAGGGCACAGTAGTTCATACACAATAATTCATTCTTTTATAATTAGGAGAATTCATTCTCATTTATTATTTATTGTTTCCATTATAATTATCACATCTTAGAGTCCAGCCTGAAAGACAAGGGTTTTGTTTATAAACTTCTATATCCTGGACCTATAGAATTACCCTTGCATGTGAAAGCAGCAAGAATGTTTAAATTGTGATGATATGGTTCTGATTCTCCGAGGAAGATGTACACTAACTAAACTTGGATCTTGGCTGATTGTTTACCTCTCTTATAACTTGGTATAATATTGCTCAAGAGCTGACCTCTTAACTTGTTACCTTTGCAATATGGGTTTTATTTTTCTTGGGATAAGTGAGTTTTAAAATAAGGTGCTTAAAAATACCACACTGAGTCTCACTCCCATGAAAAAAGTCCAAGAGTTTTCTCTGAGCTTGTTTCCCCTTCTGTAAAATGTAAGGACTGAATTAGATTTGGTGTCCCAAGCCAGTCCATGCCATGTATGTATACCTGGATTCTCCATCACACACTCCAGCTTTGGGGAGGCTGAAAGGGGAACAGAGCTGTTTCCTTGGAGAATTGTAACTAATACACAAACTATAATAAAACCACACAGTCTTTTCACCTCACTAGCACTTCTTGCACTGGAAAATGAAAACAAATTAATATACAAAATTTCAATATCATATATTTCATCTTACCTGAAAAGAAGCATCATTCATTTTGGAATTCAATTAGATGTTTATTAAAGAATCAGTCACGGTGATCAGAAAAGCAACAGTTATAGCTAGTATCTTTGCAGTGCATAATTATCCTGTTCACCGGTGGGAAAAATCCAACCTCAGAATATGCTGCTTCTGGTGAAGACACTCAGCAAGTTGTTAGTTATCACAGTAGCATCTGTCAGGATTGCCTCTTCCCATTTTGCATGGAATGTATCTCAAAACTTGGAACCAAAGTACTCAAAGCAAATGAAAGACAGATGAATAAATAAAGGGACTCCCCAGAGGCTCAAGAGGCAGAAGAGGCAGAGCAGTGGAACCCTGGCCTTTCCTGGATAAGTCCATTCAGGAGCAGACAGAATTTCAACCAGTCATAAAACTCCAATAATAAAAAAAACAAAACTGATTCAAATATAAGCTACATTCTTTCCTCTATGACCAGAGAAACTTAACTGAGTCAAGGAGAAAAGCACTCTCAGCTGGGCCCCTCCTTCATTCCCATTTGGAAAGAGCTTTGGCTGCTCCCTCTGCACACATCTTGGTATTTTTTCATGCAGCCAGGGCAGCGCTGAAGTAAAGTGACCATCAAGTAAGTCCCCAGGAGCCGAAGCAATGGCCCCTCAGGACAGGGTCCTTTCACAGAGAAAAAAGATGAACACCATATGCTGTATTTCAGCAGTACCTTACAATGTGATTCTGACAGCACACAGACTTACTCTTAGCTGAACTGTTTGGCAAACCAAATCTTAGTTTGGTGCTAAATATCCTTGTCCCAAAGCCGTGATTTACTTCCCAAAGTAAACAGCACAATTAAAAACAGAGAGAATAAATAAATAGATAAATAAACAGTATAATCAAAACACCACTAATTACACAAAATATCAAGATATTATTCTTGGTTAATTTCCACTAGAAATGAGCTTCGAAACAATTGCTTCCTACTAAATGCCTACATGTGTTAGAATTAAGAACTTTTTTTGATGTTTATTTATTTTCAGAGAGAGGATCATGTGAGCAGAGGAGGGGCAGTCAGTAGGGAGAGAGAGAATGCCAAGCAGGAGCTTGGGATCCCATGAACCACGAGATCATGACCTGAGCTGAAATCAAGAGTTGTCCACTCAACCGACTGAGCTACTCAGGAACCCCCTAGAATTAAGAATTTAAAAACGAGGGTTTTCAATCCTCAAGCCTCATAGGGCCCAGGTAGAGTGCATAGAAATTAGGTCATGGCTGAGAAAATGGATGGTCAAACGGAGAACATGCTAGGTGTTGATGCAGTAGAACCTCCATCCTCTCTAATTTCTGAAATACCTTGTATGCTCTGATGTCAAAGGCTGTTCCTTGGCATAAGCCAAATATAACTGTAAAACAGTGATGAAAGTAAAAGACAGCGGCTCCCCTCCGCAATGTTTTATTTTCCAGTCTTGCCTACCATGCTTCCCCTTTCTTTTGTCTTGAAATGTTTGAAGAATGTTACTTGCAATAATTAAGTTTCCTTAAACAGCCTTTCCTTCTCCCTTTCCAATCTTATTGCAAACCCCCACCCCAGCTCCCCACTCCCATCCCCCTCTAGAAAGATTTTTGTGGCTCTCCGGAGACATAATCATCCCTTACCTAGTCTCACCTCTTTTTAGAATTACTTCTGATGGGAACGACATCTGATATCTCTAATTATTTTCAGGGCTAATATATTATTACTCTAATGTAACTTTAAGCTCCTTGAGATCAAGTAGCAAAGCTAATGCTTCTTTTGAAAAGTCCCAGTACTTATTTTAGTGTTAATGCAACAAATGATAAGCCCACATTGAATTGAATTCTCTTTTCCTTGAAAGTTAAACTTCCTTGAAGTTCTGAAATAAAGTTGGTATTAGAATAAAAGTTGCTAGAACTTAACAAATAATCTTCCTGAGTGTCACTAAAATGCTTTGAATAAAGCTCCAACCAAGGCCTTTTGTATAATTGGTACCCTTTAAATTTCAGCTGTGATAGAACGGTACCCCCTTCTTTCCTTTTAGTAATGGTCATAATGGTCACTTTTGGGGCACCTGGGTGGCTCAGTCAGTTAAGCGTCCAACTTCGGCTCAGGTCATGATCTTGCAGTTTGTGAATTCAAGCCCCATGTCAGGCTCTGTGCTGACAGCTCAGAGCCTTGATCCTGCTTCAGATTCTGTGCCTCCCTCTCTCTCTCTGACCCTCCCCTGCTCACACTCTGTCCCTCCCTCCCTCCGTCTCTCTCTCTCTCTCTCTCTCTCTCTGTCTCTCAAAATTAAACATTAAAAAAAATTTTTTGTTGGGGGGCACCTTTGTGGCTCAGTCGGTTAAGCATCTGACTTCAGCTCAGGTCATGATCTCACAGTCTGTGAGTTCAAGCCCCGCGTCGGGCTCTGTGCTGACAGCTCAGGGCCTGGAGCCTGCTTCAGATTCTGTGTCTCCCTCTCTTTGCCCCTCCCCTGCTCATGCTCTGTCTTTCTCTGTCTCAAATAAAAACATTACAAAAAAAAATTTTTTTAAATAATCGTCACTTTTGATGGTATGGGCTGAGGCCTACTGAAGTCAACCAGGATGAAAGCAGTTGTGTGTAAGAAACTCTCACTTTCCATAATAAAAGGGCATATAAAAATAACTTTAAAAACCCAGATCCTCCATTATTGGCAATTCTGGGGGATGAAAAAAAAAAAACATTTCTCTTCTCTCTTACTAAAATTAAACATTAAAAAAAGTGAGCTTGGGGGGCACTAGGTTCAGTTTCCATATATCTGACTTCAGCTCAGGTCATGATCTCAGTTCAGAGTGCTCAAGCCCCAAGGCGTCGGGCTCTGTGCTGACAGCTCAGGCCTGGAGCCTGCTTCAGATTCTGTGTTCTCCCTCTCTTGCCCTTCCCCTGTTTTCATGCCTGTCTTTCTGTCTCCAAATAAAAAACATTACAAAAAAATTTTTAAATAATTGCCTCTTTTGATGGTATGGGCTGAGGCCTACTGAAGTCAACCAGATGAGTTTTAAAGCTGTGTGTAAGAACTTCACTTTCCATAATAAAAGGGCATATGTACACCCCAAAACCCAGATCCTCCATTATTAAGAGGGCCTTGGGGATG